GTGCCTGTAATCCCAGCTACTCAGGAGGCTGAGGCAGGAGAATTGCCTGAACCCAGGAGACGGAGGTTGCGGTGAGCCGAGATCGCGCCATTGCACTCCAGCCTGGGTAACAAGAGTGAAACTCCGTCTCAAAAAAAAAAAAAAGAAACCTTTACTGTAAGAGATGAAATATACTCACCTCTTTCCCCACCATTACTTTACACCAGTAGCATTACATATACTTTAGATAAGTTATCTTTTAATTTTTGCTTCCTTTGAGTACTTAGTGTTATAAAGATTAAGAATTTGATCACTTGGTATCTAGAAAAGTGACATGTAATTAATGCTTTTTTGTCAGAATCTATTTTATCCCAAGACACATTGGTGAAAACTTAATACATATGTGCAAGGCTACTATATTACTTGTAATAGCAAAAGATAGGAAACTACCCGGCATCTATCAGTAAACAACAAGGCTCTATATAATACTCAGGAGTGATTTTTCAGGAGATACTGTTAAATGACAAAAGCAAACTAAGTGATTTTTCAGGAGATACTGTTAAATGACAAAAGCAAACTACAGAGGAGTTTGTATAATATACCTTTTGTAGGGCCAGAAGACTTTATATATATCTCCATATTTATATATTTTCAAAAAGAATGGAAATGCCAATCAACAATAAAATAAGGCTGAGTTCAGTGGCTCATGCTTGTAATCCCAACACTTTGAAGGCTAAGGCAAGAGGATCACTTGAAGCCAGAAATTCAGGATTAGCCTGGGCATCATAGTGAGACCCTGTCTCTACAAGAATTAGGTGTGGTGGCACATATCTGTAGTCCTTGCTACTCAGGAGGCTGAGGTGGGAGATTGCTTGAGCCCAGGAGTTGGAGGTTACATTGAGCTATGATCGTGCCACTGCATTCCAGCCAAAGTGACAGAGTGAGATCCTGTCTCTAACAAAAAAAGAAAAAAGAAATGAAAACACTGGCCCACACAAAGATCTAGGAGACATATCAGCCAAAGAGAAAGTGTGACTTCTATTTGGATCGTAATTTGAACAAATCAACTTGTCAAAAACATGTATGATATAATTGGAGAAAAATTAACACATTCAGGTATCATATGATATTAAGGAATTAAAGTACTTACCTATTAGAAATAGATACTGAAATATTTACAGGTAAAATGATATGTCTGGAATTGGCTTTACAATCCTGGAATAAAAAAGTGGGGAAGAAGAGATGGAATAAATTTTTTTTTTTTGAGGTGGAATTTTGCTCTTGTTGCCCAGGCTGGAATGCAGTGGTGCAATCTTGGCTCACTGCAACCTCCACCTCCTGGGCTCAAGCCATTCTCCTGCCTCAGCCTCCCAAGTAGCTGGGATTACAGGCATGCACCACCACATCCAGCTAATTTTGTATTTTTAGTAAAGGCGGGATTTCACTATATTAGTCAGGCTGGTCTAGAACTCCCGACCTCAGGCAATCTACCCACCTCAGCCTCCCAATAAATAAAAATACTTAATAGTAGAATATTGATAAATGTTGGGCCAGGCGCAGTGGCTCACATTCATGGTCCCAGCAGTTTGGGAGGCCAAGGTGGGTGGATTACTTGAGGCCAGGAGTTTGAGACCAGCCTGGCTAACATGGCAAAACCCTGTCTCTACTAAAAATATGAAAAATTAGCTAGGTATGGTGGTACGTGTTTGTAGTCCCAGCTACTCAGGAGGCTGAGGCAGAATCGCCTGAACCTGGGAGGTGGGGGTTGCAGTGAGCCAAGACTGCATCACTGCTCTTCAGTCTGGGCAACAGATCAAGACTGTCTCAAAAAGAAAAAAAAAAAAGAGTATTAGGCCGGGCGCGGTGGCTCAAGCCTGTAATCCCAGCACTTTGGGAGGCCGAGGCGGGTGGATCACAAGGTCAAGAGATCGAGACCATCCTGGTCAACACGGTGAAACCCCGTCTCTACTAAAAATACAAAAAATTAGCTGGGCATGGTGGCGCGTGCCTGTAATCCCAGCTACTGAGGAGGCTGAGGCAGGAGAATTGCCTGAACCCAGGAGGCAGAGGTTGCGGTGAGCCGAGATCGCGCCATTGCACTCCAGCCTGGGTAACAAGAGCGAAACTCCGTCCCAAAAAAAAAAAAAAGAGTATTGACAAATGTTGAAGTTTACTGATGGTATATGTGAGTTCTCTGTATTATTTACTCTTGTATATATTTGAAGTTTCTCATGATTTGTTAAAAATTAAAATGAGAACTTGACCACCAGAAAAAAGTCTTTAATACATAACTTACTTTTTTCAGGCCAGTACCAGTTCATCATCCATCCTTTGTATACCTTGCAAAAATCCAGTTCCTATATTATTGTTATGCAAACGATTATCTTGAGTAGGGATTTAAGTGAAAAAACATGCAGAGCTTTTCTTCTTCATGTTTGACTACATACTAGTAGATAGCCATTAGCTTTTTGGTTTTTCGGATTTGCAAAATGCATATAGATCTCTTAGAACTCACTTAAGTAGCACACTGTTAATTGCTGTTAACATTTTGAAATTTGAATCAAACACAATCTTCCCTTCATGCAAATTTTCATACGCAGCACAGCGTTTCTTCTTTGTGAATGATATCTGTCTCTTCCTCAATGTGAAGGGTCTTAGGATAGAAAACTGCTTTTTTAGGGGTGTGAAAATTTTACAATTCTTATGTATACACATTGGTTTAATGAGAACAGTGTCTGATATACCAAGGATGTGTACTTGTCTTGTTTATTCATTAATTTCTCCTTTTTCCATTTTCAGTACATGTACTAGCCTTAGCAAGTTCTGTTCCAAACTCAGGCACCTTGACTTGGCTTCCTGTACATCAATAACAAACATGTCTCTAAAAGCTCTGAGGTAATTTTTTATAATAAGAATGTCCAGTAATCAGAAAAAAATACATACTTTAAAAAAATAACTGATATAAAGTTGGAATTGAAGGCAACTCTGTTTTATGGATATATTCTGTAGTTCAGAGCAGATATTTTCTTTTACCACTTGCCCAAATTACAATTATGGGACATATTAAAGTGAAATGATGAGAGGTAACTAGGATTTCTGAACAGGGGTAGTACAGTTTATACACGAATGGTTAGATTTTTATGAAGTCTTATTTTCAAAAAGAAAAGAGGCTGGGCACAGTGACTCACACCTGTAATCCCAGCGCTTTGGGAGGCCGAGGTGGGTGGATCATGTGGTCAAGAGATTGAGACCATCCTGGCCAATCTGGTGAAACCCTATCTCTATTAAAAATACAAAAGTTAGCTGGGCTTGGTGGCACATGCCTGTAATCCCAGCTACTCGGAAGGGTAAGGCAGGAGAATCACTTGAACTCGGGAGGTGGAGGTTGCCTTGTGCCAAGATTGTGCCACTGCACTCCAGCCTAGACAGCAGAGCAAGACACTCTTTTTTTTTCTTTTTTCTTTTTTCCCCCGCTATCTACCAATAATGGCTATAAGCAGGAGACTCCATCTCAAAAAAAAAAAAAAAAAAGAAAGAAAAGAAGGCATGTGTTATAGCCTAGTGCTTAAAACAGGCACCTGGAGCCAGATTACTAACCGTGTACTTTAAGCAAACATAACTAAGCTTTCTGAGCTTTTTCTTATCATCTCATAACATTTTATTAAGGTTTAACAAGATATTAGGCAACACCATATAAATTTTTGCCAGTATTTGACAGTTTACATGTTATAAGAATGACAGGTACATGTGGCTCAACCTAATGTATATAAAGTGCTTTAAAAAGAGTCCCTGAGGCTGGGCATGGTGGCCTGTAATCTCAGCACTTTGGGAGACCAGGGTAGGAGGATCACTTGAGCCCAGGAGTTCGAGACCAGGCTGGGCAACATGGTGAAACCCTGTCTCTACTAAAAAAAAAAAAAAAAAATAGAAAAAATAGCCAGGCATGGTGGCATGTCCCTGTAATCCCAGCTGTTCAGGGGACTGTGGCAAGAGGAACACTTGAGCCCAGCAGGTTGAAGCTCCAGTGAGCTGTAATCGTGCCACTGCACTACAGACTGGGCAATAGAATGAGACCTAATCTCAAGAAAAAAGAAGACATATAAATTTAGTTAACTAGAGTATAAATAATCTAAAATGTGGCTCCTTTTAGACCTTCTTTGTGAATACTGAACACATATACCTAAGATGGTTTGCTGTGTAGGATAATAAATTTGATAATAAAACTTTTTATCATTTATAAAATATTTTCACGTAAATTATTTATTTAAAAGCCGTGTGAAGTAGATTGGACTGGCATTTTACAGATAAGAAATTCTAGAAAGTTGTTGACTGCCGGGTACTGTGATGCAACCATGAGATGTAACTGAGTTATTGCTGCCCTTAAGTTGCTCACAGTCAACTGTTACTGTGGAATAAATGCTATGATAGGAATGAGCACATCAGTTTTGGGAAAACAGAGCTGTGGGGCTAATCTTAGAGAGGTTTGGACAGGCTTCCTAAAGTCACTTAGCTGAAATTAAGCTACTAATACTGGAGAATGAACTTTAACCTGGATATCTTGGCTTTATCTTCTGGGTCTTTTCGGCAGGCAGGAATATTTCAAACAATTTATGGAGTGTTTTCCAAAGAATATTATAGAAAACTTGGAATTCATCCATAATCCAAATATGAAGCTAAACTGATGGGATCAACAATGAAACTAATATTTTAAAAGCAGAGATTGGATATAAGGTACCCTAAAATCAGCCTACAAAAGCAGTACTCTAGAAACATTTCAGATAAGGAAATACACAGGGCCTTTGTAATTTTTTAAAATAAAAGTTTAAAAGGCTGCATTACTACTCTGGTTCTGTGAGTTGAACATCCCTATTTCAGAAATCCAAAATGCAACTGGGTGCTACTTGAGGGACTGAAGCGGGAGGATCACTTGAGCCCTGGAGGTCACAGCTGCAGTGAGCCCTGATATTGCTGCTACTGCACTGCAGCCTGGAAGAGTCTAAAACTCAAAATCTGAAATGCTTGAAAATCTTAAGCTTTTTGAATATCGATATGACACTCAAAGGAAATACTTATTGGGGCACTTCAAATTTTCAGATATGGGATACTCAACTATGTAAGTATAATACAAATATTGCAAAATCTGAAATCTAAAACACTTCTGGTACCAAGCTTTTTTTTTTGAGACGGAGTCTTGCTCTGTCGCCCAGGCTAGAGTGCAGTGGCAAAATGTCAGCTCACTGCAACCTCCACCTCCCAGGTTCAAGCGATTCTCCTGCCTCAGCCTCCTGAGTAGCTGGGATTATAGGTGAGCACCACCACGCCTGGCTAATTTTTGTATTTTTAGTAAAGACGGGGTTTCAATGTGTTAGTCAGGCAGATCTTGAACTCCTGACCTCGTGATCCTCCCTCCTCCACCTCCCAAAGTGCTGGGATTATAGGCGTGAGCCACCTCGCCTGGCCACCAAGCATTTAAATGATAAGGGACACTCAACTGGTAATAGTGTTGCTCGATGGAGAATCTGCTTTTGAATCTGAGCTCTTTATTAATTACTCTGTAAACTAGAATAAATCATTTAATTTCCATTTTCTGTCTAGAGAGCTTTGAGATATGTGATAAGTCCAAAAGGAATATAAATCTGAAAAACAGTATAATGCTTTTTGTTCATTAAGCTGGATTTGAGATGATCCTGCTAATGATGGAGTCCCATGTGAATACCACATTGATAAAGTAGCTTTTTTTCTAAATATACATTAGGTAAAGATGTTTTTTTCTTGTGGGAAAGAATGGGAATGTTTTCATTTCTTTACTAAATAGCCAATAAATTGAGATGTTGGTGCCTTTGAAATTGGATTTAGTGATATGTTTCTCTCATTTTGTTTTATCCTAAGTGAGGGATGTCCACTGTTGGAGCAGTTGAACATTTCCTGGTGTGACCAAGTAACCAAGGATGGCATTCAAGCACTAGTGAGAGGCTGTGGGGGTCTCAAGGCCTTATTCTTAAAAGGCTGCACGCAGGTAATACTCCATGTAGGGTCTGTGAAATTCAGAAGAATCATGAGCTCTTTGTAGGCAGCCCCAAGATGTTTGTCTTGAGGGAAAGGTTAGTTGTATGTATTATTGACCAAAGACACATGCTTACCAGAACTTAAAGTGTTTTCCTTAGGATAAAAGAATGAGAAGAATTAACATCTGACCAAAAATAAATTTGAGGAGGAGGGAGACAAGGTGGGAAGATTATATTAAAGATATACCATGGTCAAGAAGAGTTTCATGCAGCTTAAATTGTGCTGAAAAGAAAACTTGCTGTGTTGTCACTGCCTGATACTTTGAACTGGATAGGCAAAGAAGGCAGTCTTAGCAATTTCCACTTGTTTTTTTAACCACCAGTGTTTCTTAAATATGCCAAGTGTATAGCAACCTGCATTTTATAGTATTGATACTTATTTGCTGCCAGACACATTACAAATCTGACATATTTTGTCATTAAAAATTTTATTATCTCAGCCAGGCGAAGTGGCTCATGCCTGTAATCCCAGCACTTTGGGAGGCCGAGACAGGTGGATCACCTGATGTCAAGAGATCGAGACCATCGTGGCCAACATGGTGAATTCCCTGTCTCTATTAAAAATATAAAAATTGGCCGGGCACGGTGGCTCACGCCTGTAATCCCAGCACTTTGGGAGGCCGAGGCGGGTGGATCACGAGGTCAAGAGATCGAGACCATCCTGGTCAACATGGTGAAACCCCGTCTCTACTAAAAATACAAAAATTAGCTGGGCATGGTGGCACGTGCCTGTAATCCCAGCTACTCAGGAGGCTGAAGCAGGAGAATTGCCTGAACCCAGGACGTGGAGGTTGCGGTGAGCCGAGATCGCGCCATTGCACTCCAACCTGCGGAACAAGAGCGAAACTCCGTCTCAAAAAAAAAAAATATATATATATATATATAAATTAGTGGTGGCGCACGCTTGTAGTCCCAGCTGCTCAGGAGGCTGAGGCAGGAGAATTGCTTGAACCTAGGAGTCAGAGGTTGCAGTGAGCCAGGATCGTGCCACTGCACTCCAGCCTGGCGACAGAGCGAGAGTTGGTCTCAAAAACCAAAAAAAATTAGGCCACGTGAGGTGGTTCATGCCTCTAATCCCAGCACTTTGGGAGGCTGAGGCAGGTGGATCATGAGTTCAGGAGATTGAGGCCAATGTGGTGAAACCGTCTCTACTAAAAATACAAAAATTAGGTGTGGCGGCACATGCCTATAATCCCATCTACTTGGGAGGCTGACCAAGGAGAATCGCTTGAACCTGGGAGGCAGAGATTGCAGTGAGCCGAGATCGCACTACTGCAGTGCAGCCTAGCAACAGAGCAAGGCTCCATCTCAGGGAAAAAAAAAAAAATTTACTATCAGTGTTTCATAGTGAAAAATAGAATGGACTAGTTAGCATCTGGAAAGTAATGAGTGGATTTAAATTGTGGCTGACAAACTAAGGCTAGGCTCTACTTTATTTTATTATTGGTTACTAAAACCATAACTTGTTCCATTAAAAGTGCCCTCATTCTTTTATCATGATGAGAGGGGTTCCATTGTTTGAAAGAGAACTTCAAATGTATGACTGCTTTAAAATAGCAGCTTGAGCTTCTGGTTATTTATGGAATCCTGAAAAATATTGATAGGAATGTATCATTATAATCAGTTACTTACCATCTGTTCTCAGCAGTGTAAGCATGGCACCTATCTTCTAGTGGGAGATGAACCCTGGATTTCTTTCTAGGCAGTTTCTTCTCAAAATTTGTTTATAAAAAAACCTTACAAGGGTTGTGTAGAAGTTTGAAAATTATTTTTGCTTCATGGGCCCTCAGCAAAATACTGTCAGGTATATTTTATCAGAAGTAAAACCCATAAAAACTAGGCAATGTTTACTTCATCATCTTGATTTGATAATATGAATTTTAATGTGGTCAAAACTGATTTTTAAAATGCCGAGAATCATAATATGAATTATACTGTTTGATAGTTTATTGTTTTCTGATTCATTGTTTCTTCAAAACTTGAAGAAACAAGTTGGCTGTATTTTGAATGTATGAAGGAATGTGTACATTCTTTAAAACAATATCAATAATAATTATTTCTTTTTAATCTTTCTAGCTAGAAGATGAAGCTCTCAAGTATATAGGTGTACACTGTCCTGAACTGGTGACTTTGAATTTGCAGACTTGCCTGGTAAACATCCCATCTGACAACTCTTCTGTTTTAGTAATTGATTTCAGTAAAACTATTTTAAGAGCTTCAGTTATCAAGACCAGTATTGTTTTTCTACCACAACCCTGGCGACACAGTAGACACACAGATGACTCTTGACATGGTTAATAGTACCATTCCTAGGGGCCTTGACATAGATACGATAGGAGATAGCTAGCTTATGCAGAATTCCATATGGGCTAACTGTAACTCCACCCCTTTCTTATGTACTTAAACTGTCTACTTTTAAAATGTAAATAATTCACAAATTTAATATTTAAAATTGCAGTCAAGCTGGCTGGGCACGGTGACTCACGCCTGTAATCCTAGCACTTTGGGAGGAGAGCACATCACCTTAGGTCAGGAGTTCAAGACCAGCCTGACCAACATGGAGAAACCCTGTCTCTACTAAAAATACAAAATTAGCCAGGTGTGGTGGCACATACCTGTAATCCCAGCTACTCGGAAGGCTGAGGCAGGAGAATCGCTTGAACCCAGGGGGCGGAGATTGCAGTGAGCTGATATGGCACCATTGCACTCCATCCCGGGTAACAGAGCCAGACTCAAAAAAAAACCAGAAATGTTTATACTCTGAGAGATCAACCACAGTTATTAACATGAAATCATCATCTTATGATGCTAAAGAAAAACTATTCCTGGAGAGCTTCAAAAGTGTGTGTGCCAGGTGTAGTGGTTCACTCCTGTAATCTCAGGACTTTGGGAGGCCAAGGCAGGTGAATCACGTGAGGTCAGGAGTTTGAGACCAACCTGGCCAGCATAGTGAAACCACAACTCTACTAAAAGAAAGAAAGAAAGAAAGAAAGAAAGAGAGAGAGGGAGAGAGAGAGAGAGAGAGAGAGAGAGAGAGAGAGAGAGAGAGAGAGAGGAGAGAGAGAGAGAGAGAGAGAGAGGGGGGGGGAGGGGGAGAGGGAGAGAAGAAAGGAAAGAAAGAAAGAAAGAGAAAGAAAGAAAGAGAAAGAAAGAAAAGTGTGGTGATGTGCACCTGTAATTTCAGCTACCCAGGAGTCTGACATAGGAGAATCACTTGAACCTGGGAGGTGGAGGTTGCAGTGAGCCGAGATTGTGCCAGTGCACTCCAGCCTAGGCAACAGATTGAGATGCCATCTCAAAACAAAAGTGGTGTGTGTGTGTGTGTGTGTGTGTGTGTGTGTGTGTGTGTGTGTGTGTAAGCACACACATACGTGCACATATATTTGCATATGCACTACATATATTACATACACATAAATACATACCATTTGCAGATTAGGTTTGATGTTTCTTCATCCTTTCAGCAGGCAGGAATCACAGTAAACATAAAAAATTCTACCTAATGTGTATTTTATTGTTTTCCTTCACCCAAATCTTAGTACAGGAGTCTCTCTTTTTTTTTAGATGAGGTTTCACCATGTTGGCCAGGATGGTCTCGATCTCTTGACCTTGTGATCTGCCCGCCTCGGCCTCCCAAAGTGCTGGGATTACAGGCATGAGCCACCGTGCCCTGCCAGGAGTCATTTTTTACCTGCAGGCATTCATGAGAGTTCATGCTCTGCCCAAAATTGTTGAGACGATTGAAGTACATTCTTGATTCTTTGATTTTCTTGAAAGATTTGAAAACATAAAAGTTGAATACATTTTTTTTTTTTTTTGAGACGGAGTTTTGCTCTTCTTGCCCAGGCTGGAGTGCAATGGCGCAATCTCAGCTCACTGCAACCTCTGCCTCCTGGGTTTAAGCGATTCTCCTCCTGCCTCAGCCTCCCGAGTAGCTGGGATTACAGGCACGTGCCACCATGTCCAGCTAATTTTGTGTTTTTATTAGAAACAGGGTTTCTCCATGTTGGTCAGACTGGTCTTGTACTCCTGATCTCAGGTGATCTGCCCGCCTCTGCCTCCCAAAGTGCTGGGATTACAGGTGTGAGCCACCATGCCCAGTGTTTTTTTTTTTGTTTTTTTTTTTTTTTTTGGAGTTGGAGTTTTGCTCTTGTTGCCCAACCTGGAGTGCAATGGTGATAGTGCGATCTCATCTCACTGCAACCTCTGCCTCCCAGGTTCAAGCCATTCTCCTGCCTCAGCCTCCTGAGTAGCTAGGATTTACAGGCATGCGCCACCACACCTGGCTAAATTTTTTGTATCTTTAGTAGAAACATGCTTTCACCATGGTAGCCAGGCTAGTCTTGAACTCCTGACCTCCGGTGATCTGTCTGCTTCAACCTCCTAAAGTGCTAGGATTACAGGCAGGAGCCTTTTTGAGGAGAAATTCATGAAATGAAAAAAAAAAAATACAGGCAGGAGCCACCACTCCTGGCCTACAATTTTTTAACATATTGGCAGTATGACTTGGACTTTTTTTTTTTTTTTTTGAGACAGTGTCTTGCTCTGTTGCCCAGGCTAAAGTTCAGTGGCACCATCTCGGCGCATTGCAATCTTCAGATTACAGGCGGGAGCCACCGCACCCAGCTCACTTTACTCATCTTCTTCAGTACTCTCTTATAACATACAAAGGAAAGGGCAGTACATCCCTACAGTACTTTTCTAATATTGTGTGGCACAAGTATCTTTGGCCTGCTAAACTGGCATGTTTATTGATTCTTACTTCCCTCTTTACATCTTGGCTATCATAGTCTAAAGATAATACATCATATTTATGTGGCATGTTTTTAGCTGCCTCCCTAATACCTCATTACTTGAGCCTTATGAGTATCTGCCTTAGCATACATTTTTTTTTTTTTTTTTGAGACAAAGTCTTACTCTGTCGCCCAGGCTAGAGTGCAGTGGCGTGATCTCAGCTCACTGCAACCTCCACCTTCAGGGTTCAAGTGATTCTCCTGCCTCAGCCTCCTGAGTAGCTGAGATTACAGGCATGTGCCACCACGCCCTGCTAATTTTGTATTTTTAGTAGAAACGGGGTTTCTCCATGTTGGCCAGGCTGGTCTCCAACTCCTGACCTCAGGTGATCCACCCACCCTGGCCTCCCAAAGTGCTGGGATTACAGGTGTGAGCCACTGCACCCGGCCAGCATCCAATTTTTTTAATCTATATTTTTTTCAGTTGTCCTTGTAACTTATGGACACGACTTGATTAAACAGATATGGCAAGAGAGCTTTTATTTTTAGACCTATACAAAATTAGTAAATCAAGAGGATAAATTGAAGTGCTGATAGTATCTACCATGTTAAGATGTTTATATGTAACTTCCCTTTGTTTTTTTTTTTTTTTTTTAAGGGAGCTGGGTGGGGAGGATGGTCTTACTATATGCCCAGACTGGCCTTGAACTCCTGGGCTAAAACAGTCATCCCACCTCAGCCTCCTGGGTAGCTGAGACTCCAGGCATGTGTGCCTGTAATATTTTTAAAAATATAACATCTTTGATGTGAGGTGGCTTATTGTACAACAAATTACTCAGCTGGTTAGAAAACAGCCAGATATTACTTACAAAATATTTGTACTGGGGCTGTGCGCGGTGGCTCATGCCTGTAATCCCAGTACTTTGGGAGGCAAAGGCATGTGGATCACAAGTTGAGGAGATTGAGACCATCCTGAGCAACATGGTGAAACCCTGTCTCTACTAAAAACACAAAAATTTGCCGGGCGTGGTGGCATGCCCCTATAATCCCAGCTACTCAGGAGGCTGAGGCAGGAGAATCACTTGAACCCAGGAGGTGGAGGTGGTAGTGAGCCGAGATTGGGCCACTGCACTCCAGCCTGGGTGACAGAGCACGACTCTGTCTCGAAAGAAAAAAGAGATACTTGTACGGGTTAAAGATAGTCCCTCTAAATCATCATGGAAGAAATAAAATAGTTTATAAAAATTTTAAAAGTATATATGTAACATCTTTGAATGTATATTCATTTTCATTTGAAATCAATTTAAAGCAAGATAATTTAGAATATTTTTAAATTTTTAATTGTTATATATTTATAAAAAATTATTTTAATAGAGTTTCGCCACGTTGCCCAGGCTGTTCTGGAACTTCTGAGCTCAGGCAATCCACCTGCCTCGGCCTCCCAAATTGCTGGGATTACAGGTGTGAGTCACCACATGTAGCCAATAACTAACTTTCTTTTCTTTTTTTTTTTTTTAAGACAGAGTTTTGCTCTGTCACCCAGGCTAGAGTGCAGTGGCATAGTCTCGGCTCACTGCAACCTCCCCCTGGGTTCAGGTGATTTTTCTGCCTCAGCATCCTGAGTAGCTGGGATTGCAGGTGCCTGCAACCACGGCTGGCTACTTTTTGTATTTTTAGTAGAAATGGGCTTTTACTGTCTTGGCCAGGCTGGTCTCATACTCCTGACCTCGTGATAAACCCGCCTTGGCCTCCCAAAGTGCTGGAATTACAGGCTTGAGCCACTGTATTCAGGCCCAATAACTAACATACCTACCTATCTTCTTCCCTTTCTCCCTCCTTCCCTCCCTCCCTTTCCTTCTTCTCCCTCCCTCCCTTCCTCCTTTCCTCCCTTCCTTCCTTCCTTCCTGCATCCCTGCCTGCCTTTCTCCCTGCTCCTCTTCTCTCCCCTCTCCTCCTCTCCCCTTCCTTCCCTTCCCCTCCCCTCCTCTCCCCTTCCTTCCCTTCCCCTTCCCTCCCCTCCTCTTCTCCCCTCCTCCCTTTTTTCTTTCTTTCCCATCCTTCCTTTTTTTTCTTTCCTTTATTTCCTTTTTTTCTTTCCTTCCTTTCTTCCTTTTCTTTATTTCCTTCCTTCCTTCCATTTTTTTTTCTTGTCTTGCTCTGTTACCTGGTGGAGTGCAGTGGTGCAAATATCGGCCTCCTGGGGTCAAGTGATTCTCCTGTGTCAGCCATCTGAGAGCTGAGATTACAGGCATGCACCGCAACACGGGGCTAATTTTTTGTAGTTTTAGTAGAGACAGGGTTTCACCATGTTGGCCAGGCTGGTCTCCAACTCCTGGCCTTGTGATCCACCCGCCTCGGCCTCCCAAAGTGCTGGGATTATAGGCGTGAACCACTGCGCCCAGCCTGATAACTTGTAAAACGTATAAAATTGTGTCTGAGTTAGACACAACTGTTTATCTCCGTAAATTAGGATGTTCTTTATATTATAAAACTGAAATATAGGGCTAGGCATGGTGGCTCACACCTGTAATCTCAGCACTTTGGGAGGCCAAGGTCAGATGGATTACCTGAGGTCAGGAGTTCAAGACCATCGTGACCAACAAAGAGAAACCCTGTCTCTACTAAAAATAGAAAATTAGCCAGGCGTGGTGGCACATGCCCGTAATCCCAGCTACTCCAGAGGCTGAGGCAGGATAATCCGTTGAACCAGGGAGGCAGAGGTTGTGGTGAGCTGAGATGGTGCCATTGCACTCCAGCCTGGGCAACAAGAGTGAAACTTAGTAGCAAAAAATAAAAAATAATAACATAAAAATAAAAGATGGAAGAAAATGAATGCTGTGGCTGATACAAGATTGCAAGTGTCATCCACAGTTCAATTTTTTTCACTAACTTATTGGTATCAATTTGAACTTGTAAATATATTTATACTTCTAAATTACTTATATCCTTATCTGTTTTTTAGGTTTTAAAATTATTTGAGGCCAGGCATGGTGGCTCAAGCTTACAGTCCTATTACTTTGGGAGGCCAAGGCAGTGAATTACTTGAGGCCAGGAGTTTGAAACCAGGCTGGCCTACATGGCAAAACCCTGTCTCTACTAAAAATACAAAAAAAAAAAAAAAAAATTTGCTGCCCATGGTCATGTGTACTTGTAGTCCCAGCTACTCAGGAGGCTGAGGCACGAGAATTGCTTGAATCTGGGAGGTAGAGGTTGCTGTGTGGCAAGACTGCACCAGAGCACTTCAGCCGGGTGATAGAGTGAGACTGTGTCTCCAAAAATAAATAAATAAAATTATTTAATTGAACCTAAACTATGACGTGCTCCATGCTGATCCCAGTCCCATTAGAATCCTATTGTAGCTTTTAACAGATCCTATTATAGCTTCTTCCCTTTGCACCAAAGCTGAGCACAGATCCTCTTGCAGACTAAATCAGAAGGAACTGGAAGGCAGAAACAAAGTGTGTTCATTTTCTTTTAGGTCTGCTATCTGATGAATGTTAAGCATTTCTTGATTTCCTTTTTGGTGATTATTTTCACAGAGCTATCTTTTTTATTCTTTTCTTTTGCTAAGATACTAATATTTTTTTGCTTTTGTTTTTAGCAAATCACGGATGAAGGTCTCATTACTATATGCAGAGGGTGCCATAAGTTACAATCCCTTTGTGCCTCTGGCTGCTCCAACATCACAGATGCCATCCTGAATGCTCTAGGTCAGAACTGCCCACGACTTAGGTAAACATTTCTTGTTTAGCCAAAAAAAAAAAAAAAAAAAATTACAGAACAAAAGCTTCCTTCACCCATACTTCTTCCTTGGAACTTTGGAATTTTAAGGTAGACACTACAGACACTTTAAAATTTTAAGGTAGTCCTTTTTAGATGCCCACCTACTTGCTTTTTGTACCTCATTTGATAACATGTAATTGGCGTAAACCAAGGGGTAACAGTCCCCAAATTCTACTACTTGCTATCCATACTAGAAAAATAATCAACATTTTATTTTATTACTTGAGATAGAAAGAAGGGTATTTACTCTTATTAGTGCTTTTATATAATTCTTTCTTCTTCTTCTTTTTTTTTTTTTTTTTTTTTTTTAACTGCTCACCTTCAGCTGTCTTGATCGAGTTATGTAATTCTTAAGTAGTTTTTAAAGGTCCGCTCTGAGGTCATTGATATCATAGTAGTGATATCATGTACCTAGCAGGGGATATACTATATTTAAAAATAAAAAATTCTTACAGGAATACCTCTTTCATACTGATAGGCTTTTAAAACAGCCTTATTTCTCTCTGGCTCCTCCTCAGTTTGAAGAATGCTGTGATTTTTACTTTTTGTAGAGATGGGGTCAGGCATTGTTGCTCAGGCTGGTCTCAAACTCTTGGCTTCCAGTGAATTCTCCCACCTCAGTTTCCCAAAGTGCTGAGATTACAGGCGAGAGCCATGGTGCCCAATCTGTTACTTTCTTTTGAGGCAGTGTTGCATAGGCCTGCCTCAATCTCCTGGGCTCAAGTGATCCTCTCATCTTAGCCTCAGGAGTAGCTGAGACTAAAGGCATGTACTACTACACCTGGCTACACATTTTGTTCTCTAAAATAAACATACATAGTACTTGTAAATTAGGTGTGGCTTTATGTGCTTTACAAATACCAATTCAGGGCCAGATGCAGTGGCACACACCTGTAATCCCAGCACTTAAGGAGGCCAAGGCTAGAAGATCACTTGAGCCCAGGAGTTTGAGACTGGCATGGGCTGCATGGCGAATCCCTGTCTCTACAAAAAATACAAAAATTAGCCAGGAATGGTGGTGTGTGCCTTGTAATCCCAGCTATTCAGGAGTCTAAAGTGAGAGGATCACTTGAGCCCAGAAGGCCAAGGCTACAGTGAGCTGAGATCGCACTGCTGCACTCTAGCCTGGGCAACAGAGCAATTATCTTTCTCAATAACAGTAATAATTTGTTCCTCCATAGCACCATATAAGCACTGTTATCTCCATTTTATAGAGGAGAAAACTGAAGCGCAAAGAGGCAAAGTAACCTGCTCAAGGTCTCAGCTAGTTAGTGTAGGAGCAAGTATGCAACCCAGGCACTCTGGCTCCTGAGCCTATGAAGCCACTTTTCTTACATGTAACAATCATTGTAAAGCTATACAACTTCCAGAAAACTTTTTTCTGATGATTACCTGATGACTAACAATAATTGTTGAAAGAACTTTTGCAGCCAGGCACAGTGGCTCACACCTGTAATCCCATAACAGTGGGAGGCTGAGGCAGGGGGATCACCTGAGGTCAGGAGCTTGAGACTAGCCTGGCCAACATGGTGAAACCTCATCTCTACTAAAAATACAAATATGACAGGCGTGGTGGCCTACTCCTGTAATCCCAGCTACTCAGGAGGCTGAGACAGGAGAATTGCTTAAATCCAGGAGGCGGAGGTTGCAGTGAGCCAAGATTGTGCCACTGCACTCCCAGCCTGGGTGGCAGACTTGAGGTCTCAGAAAGATAAAGAACATTTGCCTGCAATATCAAGACTTCTTAAGAGATCATAGACTTGTTGGTTAAAATTAGTAATATCAAAAGCCTAAAGTATTCCTCAGGAGCTAGGGAGGTAATCAAACCTCTCTGAAAATCTTACACATTATCCTTTAAGACTTTAGAGAGGGGAGTCTTCAGCTCCATCTCCCTAAATAGCTCATTACATTGTTAGAATGGAAAAGCTCTCAACTGTGAAAATCAAAAGTTGGGTTTTAGTCGGATCATGTTTTCCCATTAGGTAGCATTCATTTCTTTCTTTCTTAAAAAAATTTTAAAATTATTTCTTCCCCCCTGCAACTGTGAAGCCTCTTATTTTTTATTTTTATTTTTATTTTTTTTGAGATAGAGTCTGGCTTTGTTGCCCAGGCTGGAGTACAGTAGCACAATCGTGGCTCACTGTAACCTGCTCCTCCTAGGTTCAAGTGATTTTCGTGCCTCAGCCTCCGGAGTAGCCAGAATTCCAGGCATGCACCACCAATGCCTGACTAATTTTTTTTGTATTTTTGGTAGAGATCGGGTTTTTCGATATTGACCAGGCTGGTCTCAAACTCCTGGCCTCAGGTGATCTGCCCTCCCAAAGTGCTGAGATTACAGGCATGAGTCTCCTCACCCTCTTGGAATTAAAAAAAAAAATTTTTTTGAGACAGTGTCTTGCTCTGTTGCCCAGGCTGGAGTGTAGTGATTTGACCTTGGTTCACTGCAGCCTCCACCTCCTGGGTTTAAGTGATTCTCTTGCTTCAACCTCCCAAGTAGCTGGGACTGCAGGGCCACGTCACCATGCCCAGCTAATTTTTTGTATTTTTAGTAGAGATGGGGTTTCACCATGTTGGCCAGGCTAGTCTCTCAAACTCCCGACCTCAAGTGATCCACCCGCCTTGGCCTTCCAAAGTGCAGGGATTTTAGGTGTGAGCCACAGCACCTGGCCAGAATTTAAATTTTTTTTTGAGACAGAGTCTCATTCTGTCACCCAGGGTAGAGTGCAGTGGCGCAATCTTGGCTCACTACAACCTCTGCCTCCCGGGTTCAAGCAGTTCTTCTGCCTCAGCCTCCCGAGTAGCTGGGACTACAGATGCGTGCCATCACAGCTGGCTCATTTTTGTAATTTTAGTAGAGACAGGGTTTCACTATGTTGGCCAGGCTGGTCTCCTTACCTCCTTACCTCTCCTTACCCACCTCAGTCTCCCGAAGTGCAGGGATTACAGGCATGAGCCCCCGCGCCCAGCCAGAATTTAAAAATTTTTTTATAGAGATGAGGTCTTAATATGTTGCCCAGGCGGGTCTTGAACTCCCGAGCTCAAGTGATTCCTCTGTCTCAGTCTCCTGAAGTGCTGGGATTATAGGTGTGAGCCACCACATCTGGCCATCATTTGTTTCTCATTGATTTTCCAGTTGTTAATTATTTCCTATACTTTAGCTTTTATTTCTTGCAACTTAAGAGTTTTATAAGCAAACATGTCTTTGTTACTGTTATACAGAGGTCACCCAACTTTTCACAGAAGAGAGCTACTTTTGATTCCCCAATCCTGTGGTTGATATTTAGGTTGGAGTTTAACAGTTGCTTAATAAGAGGTGAATGACTGCCAGCTCAGCTTCCCTTTCTACTGGGCCTCTCTGGGAGCCTGCAGAAGGAAGCAGTTAAGAATTTCATATTTGGGACAGACCTGTAATTAAGCAGTCTCTTTGTCACATTTTTTTAAAAGCAATTTAAATCTAAGTGAACCTACTTCTAAAACAGGGAAAGAAAATAATTCACTTCAGCAAGAGATTAACTGAAATAGAGTATTTATCTCCATTTCCTTTGTTTTCTAGGAGCAGGCTGCCCTCTGGGGGTAAGCAGTATGCCATCAAGAAGGCTTTTAATGCATTTCATGCATTTTGGCATTAACTACAAGCTTCAACTATATTCTTCTGTGTTCATTAATTGTACCACCCTGAAATGTGGTATTGACAGGACCACTTTGTGATGACTCCATGAAAATGAATGGCAAGATCTGTATGGAGACTTGCTTAGTTGTTAATATCATTCTATATTATAAAGTTCTTAGAAAATAGGAGATTGTTTGCTTACATTCTTACTGTTTTAATAAACTTAGTTTTCAGGGACCAAGAGCTTGACTTTCACTTTTTTTTTTTAACAGAATATTGGAAGTGGCAAGATGTTCTCAATTAACAGATGTGGGCTTTACCACTCTAGCCAGAGTAAGTATTTTCTTTAGGTTCCGTAAGTTTGTTTCCATAGGTTTCTTTAGGATTTTTTATTTCAGAACAAGCAGCAAGGGAAATGTGAAATGATAGCAGAATTGGGCTGTGAAACAGGGTTTCATGCTATAGCTACAGATCTATTGATACCAGTAAGAATACAAACTGCTCTAGAAATGCATACATGCATTGGTGAATGACACCTCTTCATGAGCCTTTTTTTTTTTTTAATTTAAAATTTTTTTTTTTTTTTTTTTTTTGAGACGGAGTTTCGCTCTTGTTACCCAGGCTGGAGTGCAATGGCGCGATCTCGGCTCACCGCAACCTCCGCCTCCCGGGTTCAGGCAATTCTCCTGCCCCAGCCTCCTGAGTCACTGGGATTACAGGCACGCGCCACCATGCCCAGCTAATTTTTTGTATTTTTAGTAGAGACGGGGTTTCACCATCATGGAGACCAGGATGGTCTCCATCTCTTGACCTCGTGATCCACCCGCCTCGGCCTCCCACAGTGCTGGGATTACAGGCTTGAGCCACCGCGCCCGGCCTAAAAAATTTTTTAAGATAGGCTCTTGCTCTGTCACCTAGGCTGGAGTGCAGTGGCACGATCTCGACTCACGGCAACCTCTGCCTTCCAGATTCAAGTAACTCTCCTGCCTTAGCCTCCCGAGTAGCTGGGATTACAAGTGTGCACCACCACGTCCAGCTAAATTTTGTATTTTAGTAGAGACAGGGTTTTACAATGTTGGCCAGGCTGGTCTTGAACTCCTGACCTCAAGTGATCTGGCCACCTCAGCCTCCCAAAGTACTGGGATTACAGACGTGATCCACTGTACCCAGCCTGTGAGACTTGATTCTCCACAATTTCATAAGATAATAAATTAAGCCTGTGCTTCTTGGTACTTTGTGAAAGAAACTTACTTGGTTATTTTGGCATATGACTAGTGGATGAAAGTAGCATTGAAAACCACGTCTGGTTTTATTTTTATTTTTTGAGATAGAATCTTGCTCTGTTGCCCTAGAATCTTGCTCTGTTGCCCAGGCTGGAGTGCAGTGGCGCAATCTCGGCTCACTGCAGCCTCTACCTCCCAGGTTCCAACAATTCTTCTGCCTCAGCCTCCCAAGTAGCTGGGATTACACAGGCGCACACCACCATACCCGACTAATTTTTGTATTTTAAGTAGAGAATGGGGTTTCACCATGTTGGCCGGGCTGGTCTTGAACTCCTGACCTCAGGTGCTCTGCCCGCTTCAGCCTCCCAAAGTGCTGGGATTACAGGCATGAGCAATGGTGCCCGGCCAGCATGTCTGGTTTTAAATGGAAAGGTTTTAGGATATTTTCTGTATTCTCCTGAATATTTTAATACTTGGATGGGTTTATAAATTACTGTATAGTAATACTTAAAATTATACTGACTTTGACCAGTGTTACGGGACAAGGGGATGGTTGCTTGATTTTAGGCAGATTGATAGAATACTAATTAGGTGGGGGCCAGCACATGGCATGACTAAAGGAGCACATAGGCCAGAAGTAGTGGCTCACGCCTGTAATCCCAACATTTTGGAAGGCTGAGGCAGGCAGATGGCTTGAGCCCAGGAGTTTGAGCCCTGCCAGGGCAACATGGCGAAATTTCATCTCTATAAGAAATACAAAGCTGAGCACAGTGGCTCATGCCTGTGATCTCAGCACTTTGGGAGGCCAGTTTGGATGGATCACAAGGTCAGGACATTGAGACCAGCCTTACCAACATGGTGAAACCCTGTTGCTACTAAAAATACAAAAATTAGCCAGGCGTGGTGGCATGCGCCTGTAATACCAGCTACTCAAGAGGCTGAGATGGGAGAATCAACCGAGAGGTGGAGGTTGCAGTGAGCCAAGATTGTGCCACTGCACTCCAGCCTGGGCAACAGAGCAAGACTCCATCTCAAAAAAAACAAAAATTAGCCAAGTGTGGTGGCGCATGCCTATAGTCTCAACTACTCGGGAGGCTGAGGTGGGAGAATCACCTGAGCCTAGGGAGGCAGAGACTGTGCTGAGCCATGATCACACTACTGCATTCCAGCCTGGGTGACCGAGTGAGACCCTGTCTCAAAAAAAAAGAAAAAGAAATTAGCATGACACCAGCTCTGAAACACTAAATAATTCATCAGTGCTGAGCACAGTGGCTCATGCCTGTAATCCCAGTACTTTTGCAGGCCAAGGCGGGCTGATCACCTGAGGTCGGGAGTTTGAGACCAGCCTGACCAACATGGATAAACCCCATCTCTACTTTTTTTTTTTTTTTTTTTAAAGTCAAACCTGTGAGTTCACACAGGGGGTTTCACCACCATCTTGGCCAGGCTGGTCTTGAACTCCTGACCCTGTGATCCATCTGCCTCGGCCTCCCAAAGTGCTGGGATTACAGGTGTGAGCCACTGCACTCCACCTTTTTTTTTTTTTTTTTTTTTGAGATGGAGTCTTACTCTTTTGCCCAGGCTGGAGTGTAGTGGTGCCATCTCTGCTGACGGCAACCTCCACTTTCTGGGTTCAAGCACTTCTCCTGCTTCAGCCTCCTGAGTAGCTGGGATTATAGGCGTGCACCATCATGCCCAGCTCATTTTTGTATTTTTAGTAGAGACAGGGTTTTACCATGTTTGTCAGGCTAGTCTCAAACTCCTGACCTTGTGATCCACCCACCTCAGCCTCCCAAAGTGCTAGGCTTACAGGCGTGAGCCACCTTGCGCGGCCCCCATCTCTACTAAAAATACAAAATTAGCCGGGTGTGGTGGTGCATGCCTGTAATCCCAGTTACTCCAGAGGCTGAGACAGGAGAATTGCTTGAACATAGAAGGCGGAGGTTGCAGTGAGCCAAGATTGCACCATTGCACTGTAGCCTGGGCAACGAGCAAAACCCCGTCTCAAAAAGAAAAAAGAATTCATCAGTATATTTAATATTACCTGTTAGTTTTCTGGCCTTTAAGTTTTCTTATATTTTAAATGTTTCTACTGTAATGTTTGGTTTTGTACTTTGTAGAATTGCCATGAACTTGAAAAGATGGACCTGGAAGAGTGTGTTCAGGTAAGATTATAGATTTTATTTCAAAAATACAGTATGGTAAACACTTAGATAAAACATGACATCAGAATGTCCAGTTCTCTGCCCTAGTGTAGGACTCTATAGTACCTGACAGCATTGCTGATTCTCCATTAAGTAAGACATCTTCCAGGCAGACATGCTCATGATGTGTGTCACAGAACTGTGGAAATACATGTCATCAATCAGGTTGCCATTAGAGAAAAAGGAGGCCTAAGCATTCAGGCCATAAAGCCATTAAAAATATTTCCTTAGACCTATAGAGTTATGATACTAGTAAATAATTAAAGCCCCATCACATGGATCTATATAGCACTGCCTTTCTTTAACTTTGCTGTATCCTATATCCCTGGCATCTTTAGCCCTGGAGACCTGACTCTACATAGAGCTATGCCCTTAGGGCAAACTGATCTCCTTATTAGCAGTGTTTATTTTTTATTTTTTTATTTTTTATTTTTGAGACAGTTTTACTCTTGTTGCCCACGCTGGAGTGCAGTGGCATGATCCCAGCTCACTGCAACCTTTGCCTCCCAGTTTCAAGCAGTTCTTCTGCCTCGGCCTCCCAAGTAGCTGGGATTACAGGCATATGCCACCATGCCTGGCTGATTTTTTGTATTACTAGTAGAGATGGGGTTTCACCATGTTGGCCAGGCTGATTTTGAACTTCTGACCTCAGGTGATCCCCTCGCCTCAGCCTCTCAGAGTGCTGAGATGACAGCTGTGAGCCACATTAACAGTTTTTATTACCAATTTTAAGAACTTTTGAGAGTATTAATTGACCAGGGAAAACCTTTAAAGACAGGACTCCAAAAAAGAAAGAGCAATTAATTTTTTAATGGTAGAAATAAAGAAAGGGAGATATGTCAAAAGCCACTTTAAAAAAAATTATTTGTTGTGTGGCACTACTTAACAGCTATAAGTTCTTACTAAACTAAAACTTGTTTACATCCCTTTATGTCTTATACATGCCTGAGTGTCCTCTATGTCCCTTTCAGTGTTAGTCCTTCTAAACGGACATGCCTGCCTGCTTGCCCACCCGCTTTCTCTACCATTTTTTAGCTCCCGTGAAGCTATGTGTAGTAGAAAATAATAAACTCAGAGTTGGAGAAGAATTTGAAAAGAAGTGCTGATTTACTTTCAGTCCTAACATAACTATGAAAACTGTTCTTCCTACCTGCATGTTCATAGTTAACCCAGATTCCAGCAGCGCCTGTCTTCCACCTTTGGGAAAATAACCCAAGTTATCGATGCTGAGTTGTGGCATGCTTTATTAAAAATTTTAGGATGGGCCAGGCACAGTGGCTCACGCCTGTACTCCCAGCCCTTTGGGAGGCCAAGGCAGGCAGATCACGAAATCAGGAGTTCAAGACCACCCTGGCCAACATGGTGAAACCCATCTCTACTAAAAATACAAAAATTATCCAGGTGTGGTGGCGCACGTCTGTTATCCCAGCCACCAGCTACTCAGGAGGCTGAGGCAGGAGAATCACTTGAACCTGGGAGGCGGAGGTTGCAGTGAGCCAAAACTGTGCCATTGCACTCCAGCCTGGACAACAAAGCAAGACTCCATCTCAAAAAAAAAAAAATTTGAGCATGTTCCAACATTAATTTATTTTCATAGAGTACTATCTTCTGATTGCTTTCTCTGGTGATTCTAAAGAAATAGAGCAAAGTCCAGTGAGTAGAGCTTCTCAGGTTCAAGCAGTTCTCCTGTCTTAGCCTCCCAAGTAGCTGGGATTACAGGTGCCTGCCACCACACTCGGCTAGTTTTTGTATTTTAGTAGAGACAGGGTTTCAACATGTTGTCCAGGCAGGTCATGAACTCCTGACCTCAGGTGATCCACTGGCCTCGGCCTCCCAAAGTGCTGAGATTACAGGCATGAACCTCTGTGTCTGGCCCCACTCAGACTGGTCTTGAACTTCTAATCTCAAGCAGTCCTCCTGCCTCAGCCTCCCAAGCAGTTGGGACTATAGGTGCAAATCACCACATCTAGCTACCAGGGGGACAGATTTTGATTCATTTAAAAAATAAAATACATTTTAAATAGAACTGTTCAAAGATGAAGACTAGAGATGACTAGATGTATTCAAATGTAGCCTGAGTGGATTCTCATATAACATGCTCTGGTAGCCAATGGAATTTAAACCAAAAGATTGTTATTTGATGATTGATTATTAAAATGCCTGGACTAGAAATGTAGTCAAGAATGAGGTAGGGGGACTGGGCATGGTGGCTCATACCTGTAATCCGAGCACTTTGGGAGTCTGAGGCTGGTGGATCACCTGTGGCCAGGAATTCGAGACCAGCCTGGCTAACATGGCAAACCCTGTCTCTACTAAAAATACATCAGGCCTGGTGGCTCACCCCTGTAATCCTAGCACTTTGGGAGACTGAGGCAGGTTGATCACCTGAGGTCAGGAGTTCGAGATCAGCTTGGCCAACATGGTGAAACCCCATCTCTACTAAAAATACAAAAATTAGCTGGGCATGGTGGCCCATGCCTGTAATCCCATACTTGGCAGGCTGAGGCAGGAGAATTGCTTGAACCCAGGAGGCAGAGGTTGCAGTGAGCTAAGATTGCACCACTGCACTCCAATCTGGGCAACAGAGCGAGGCTCTATCTCAAAAAAATAAAAAAATTAAAAAAAAAAAATGCCAGGGGCGGTGACTCACACCTGTAATACCAGCACTTTGGGAGGCCAAGGTGGGCAGATCACAAGGTCAACAGATGGAGACCATCCTGGCCAACATGGTGAAATCCCCCCGTCTCTACTAAAAATATAAAAATTAGCTGAGCATGGTGGCACACGCTTGTAGTCCCAGCTACTTGGGAGGCTGAGGCAGGAGAATTGCTTGAACCTGGGAGGGAGAGGTTGCAGTGAGCCGAGATCGCACCACGGCACTCCATCCTGGGCGGCAGAATGAAACTCCATCTCAAAAAAAAAAAACAAAGCCAGCCTGTAATCCTAGCTGCTCGGGAGACTGAGGCACAAGAATCACTTGAAGGCGGAGGTTGCAGTGAGCCAAGATCATGCCACTACACCCCAGCCTGGGCGACAGAGCAAGACTCTGTCTCAATCTCGGCTCACTGCAACCTTTGGCACTGAGGTATAGGGTTGCTGGGTGTAGTGGCTCACACCTGTGATCCTAACACGTTGTGAGGTGAGGCAAGAGGATTGCTTGAGCCGAAAAGTTGAAGACCAGTCTGGGGAACATAACAAGACCCTGTTTCTGCCCGAAAAGTTTTAAAAGTCTCGGGCATGGTGGTGCACGTCTGTAGTCACAACCACTCAGGAGGCTGAGGCAGGAAGATAGCTTGAGCCTGAGAAGTTGAGGCTGCAGTGAGTTGTGATCACCCATGTTGGTCTGTAATCCTAGAGCTTTGGGAGGTTGAGGTGGTAGGATTGCTTGAGCTCAGGAATTCGAGAGCAGCCTTGGCAACATAGTGAAACCCTATCTCTACCAAAAAAAAAAAATACTAATTAAAAAAATTAGTCAGTCATGGTGGCTTGTGCTTTGTTGTCCCAGCTATTCAGGGGGATGAGGTGGGAAGATTACTTGAGCCCAGGAATCTTGGGCTGCAGTGAGCTATAGTTGTGCCACTGCACTCTAGCCTGGGCAACAGCATGACCCTTTATTTTTATTTTTATTTTTATTTTTATTTTGTTTGAGATAGAGTCTCGCTCTGTAGCCTAGGCTGGAGTGCAGTGGTGCAATCTCGGCTCACTGCAACCTTCGCCTCCCAGATTCAAACAATTCTCCTAACTCAGCCTCCTGAGTAGCTGAGATTACAGGCATGCGCCCCCCCACCTGGCTAATTTTTGTATTTAAAGACGGGGTTTCACCATGTTGGTCAGGCTCGTTTTGAATTCCTGACCTTGTGATCCGCCCACTTCAGCGTCTCAAAGTGCTGGCATTACAGGCGTGAGCCACTGTGTCTGGCGCAAGACCCTTTCTAAAAGAAAAAAGAATCAGCTACGGCTTTTGATTTTATTTGGATTATACCTAAAATCAGCATATGTATTTCTTTCAGATAACAGATAGCACATTAATCCAACTTTCTATACACTGTCCTCGACTTCAAGTATTGGTGAGTTTGACTTTGAAAGTTGTCTGTGTTTATTGGGTTTAATCAAAAGCCAATACTGTAGTTCAAAAACCCATCTCTTAGTGTCTGGCTGCCATTTTAGGAAAGGATGCTTCCCCAAATTGCCATCTTACAGAGGACCAAAGGAGTACCTGAGTGAAGTAGGAAACTAAGATAAGAACTGAAAAAGTTAAATGTTTTCTATGTCAATACTTGAAGACTGAAAACTGCCATGAAACCTATGAGTTCTCTCTTGCAGATAACATACTCCAGCCTGAATGATGTTTAAACTTCTAGATATCCAGGGGATGAGATGGCCCAAAATACAATTTGCTTCACCTTGAGTTCAGATGTTACTGGTCTTAAGAATGGAACAAATCAAAGCTTTAACTAAGGGGAGTTCTGTTCCTATTTTCAGGAAGGGTGGGCATGAGGAAGGCATTCTGGGTGTCTGTTCTGTATCCAGGCTCATTTTTGGTGTTTGGTGGCACAGTGCTATTGAGAATTCGGTCAAGATTTCTGAGTTTCCCTGAACCAGGGATTTAATAAATATTGATGAAGAGATGATGTGATGAGATGATCACACCTGACAGCTGTAAAAATCTTCAGCTAATTAATTGTTGGGGCATGTCCCTGAACCAGATATTCAGTTATTTAGTTCAAATTCCAGAAAATAGTATGAATGGAAAACTTGATTCCCATTTGTCCCTGTAGAGAAGAAAAGTGTTAATTTGACGAAGGGGTAATTTTTAAGGCTGTCTTACTTTGTTTATGAACTAGTTCATAGTCATTACATGCATTTATTAAATGTATTTAGAGTCACACACCAAAATATCAATCACTGATTGCCAAAAGCATAACCCCACTATCTCCAGTTTTCCTAATTTCACCATGTGGATGTAGTGCTGGCTCCGTATTCATCAAAATCAAACCAAAACGTCTCCTTTCCAATTTTACACAAGCCTCTGGTAGAAGAATGCCAGAAGATATTTCAACATTCTTCCTTGCTCTGTTTGGCTGCAGAGTCTGTCTCACTGTGAGCTGATCACAGATGATGGAATTCGTCACCTGGGAAATGGGGCCTGTGCCCATGACCAGCTGGAGGTGATTGAGCTGGACAACTGCCCACTAATCACAGATGCATCCCTGGAGCACTTGAAGAGCTGTCACAGCCTTGAGCGGATAGAACTGTATGACTGCCAGCAAATCACACGGGCTGGAATCAAGAGACTCAGGGTAAAAATGGCTACATAACTCTCCAGCTCTAGTGTTCTCAGCACTTTCTTCTCTCTCTCTTTTTTTTTTTTCAAATTTAGATTTGTGTGATTTTTATATTTACTTGAACATTTAACAAGGAAAAAAGATAGAGTGCAAAAGGGGCAGATAGTTTTTTCCTGTGGTTCCAGAGATGGAAATTTAGTAGGAAAAGACCCACTGAAGGGAAGAAAAGTAGGTCTCCACCCAGCAGAGTCTCTCTGATAATGTCTAGGGCTTAATAACTTTCCCAGATTGAAAAAAAAAAGAAAGAAAAAGCACATGCCACATTTTTGTTCTAAAGGAAAGAAAGGAGTAACAGAGAGTGTTTGGTTCAATGGGATTTAAGAATTTAATTTGTATTTGGGTTTCACATTAAACCCTTTTCCTGGGGTTCATATTTTTTAAGACAACAAGTAAAGTAGACAGATTTTTACCTTTTCTGTCTTTTAAGAGATGGGGTCTCACTCTGTTGCTCAGGCAGGAGTACAGTGGCACCTTCTTAGCACACTTGAACTCCTCAGCTCAAATGATCCTCCCGCCTCAGCCTCCCAGTAGCTAGGACTACAGATACACCGCTACACCTAGCTAATTTTTTGAAAACCTTGTTTTTTTTTTTTTTTTGTTTTAAGACAGGGTCTCCTCTGTTACCCAGGCTGGAGTACAGTGGCTCAATCTTGGCTCACTGCAACCTCTGCCTCCCAGGCTCAAGCCATCCTGCCACCTCAGCCTCCCAGTAGCTGAAACTACAGGCGTGTGCCATCACGCCAGCCTGATTTTTTGTATTTTTGGTAGAGAGAGCATTTTACCAAGTTGCCCAGGCTGGTTTCAAACTCGTGAGCTCAAGTGATCTTCCTGCTTTGGCCTTCCAAAGTGCTGGGATTAGAGGTATGAGCCACCATACCTAGCCTTAAAAAAACTATTTTGTATTGTGAGGTTTGGACTACAAAAAAAAAAAAAACCAATTTTCTAGAGACAAGGTCTTGCTATGTTGTGCAGGCTGCTCTCAAACTTCTGGCGGCCTCAAGCGATCCTCCCACCTCAGCCTCCCAAAGTGCTCAGATTACAGGTGTGAGTCACTGTGCCATGCCCAGATTTTTAGCTTTTCTTTTGGCCCTATCCACCATGAGTCTCGCTCTGTTGCCCAGGCTGGAGTGCAGTGGCATGATCTCAGCTCACTGCAACCTCTACCTCCTGGATTCAAGTGATGCTCCTGCCTCAGCCTCTCGAGTAGCTGGGATTACAGGTGCCCACCACTACACCTGGCTAAGTTGGTTATTTTTAGTAGAGACAGGGTTTCACCATATTGGCCCGGCTGGTCTTGAGCAACTAACCTCAAGTGATCTACCGCCTCGGCCTCCCAAAGTGCTGGGTTTACAGACATGAGCCACTGCTCTCGACCAGAAAAAGAAATTTTAAAAAGCTGGAAGAATCTGTATGTTGGGATTGTTCTGCTCAACAGACATTTATTGGAATGTCTGCTTTACACCTGTTGTAGGAAAGACAGTGTGCTTATTTAGGCCCTTAATACCAACTTCTAGGTCAGGTACCATGGCTCAGGCCTGTAATCCCAGCACTTTGGGAGGCTGAGGTGGGAGGATCACCTGAGGTCAGGAGTGCAAGACCAGCCTGGCTAACATGGTGAAACCCCATCTCTACTAAAAATACAAAAATTAGCTGGGAGTGGTGGTGAGCACCTGTAATCCCAGCTGCTTAGGAGGCTGAAGCAGGAGAATCGCTTGAACCAGGAGGCGGAGATTGCAGTGAGCCGAGATCATGCCATTGCACTCCAGCCTGGGCAGCAAAAGTGAAACTCCATCTCAAAAAAAATACCAACCTCTGGCCGGGTGCAGTGGCTTACCTCTGTAATCCCAGCACTTTGGGAGGCCAAGGCAAGCAGATGATGAGGTCAAGAGATGGAGACCATCCTGGCCAACATGGTAAAACCCTGTCTCTACTAAAAACAGAAAAATTAGCCAGGTGTGGTGGCGCATGCCTGTAGTCCCAGTTACTTGGGAGGCTGAGGCAGGAGACTCATTTGAACCTGGGAGGGAGAAGTTGCAGTGAGCCAAGATCGTGCCACTGCGCTCCAGCCTAGGTGACAGAGCGAGACTCTTGTCTCAAAAACAAAACAAAAACAAAAAACACCTGAAAAATCCATGTTGGCCATATGGCCTTGAGCAAATAAGAGTACCAGACCTTACCTTGAGTTCCAGTTGGTCTAAGTTCCTCTTCCCCTCTTCACACATAGAGGACTGTGAGCATAATTGCACTGGAAGAGGACTTGCAACCATATTTTTTCTACACCAAAGAGAATAAGAGCCACAGGTCAACTAGAGCATCTTATGTGGCCTGCTTATATTAGGGTTCCTAGACTGCCTGGCTATCAGGAATCTCTTCTGTCTCTCAACCCTCAGGAGATGGATCGTTATCTGTTCTTGAAGTCATTTAGCAAGCACCTTTCCACTTTAATATGCTATTGCTTCTGTGCTCAAGCAGTCCACCCACTTCGGCCTCTCAAAGTGCTGGGACAATAGGTGTGAGTATTTATGTACATATCTAGACTATATGTGCCCAAGAGCAGAATTTCCATCTTGACCATCTCTGTACTTCCTCACTTAACTATCGAATTGCCTTGAATATAGTAGGAATTCTGAAATGCTAATTTAGACATGTTGTTAGAATAATAAGAGTTTTTTTAATATCAGGAAAAAAAATCATTGTCCAAAATGACTTGGAAAAAAATTATTTTAAACTATAATGTAGCTAGCCAGGCACAGTGGCTCGTGCCTGTAATCTCAGCACTTGGGAGGCTAAGATGAGTGGATCAGTTGAGGTCAGGAGTTTGAGACCAGCCTGGCCAGCATGGTGAAACCCCCTCTCTACTAAAAATACAAAAATTAGCCTGGTAGAGTGTACCTGTTGTCCCAGCTACTTGGAGACTGAGGCAGGTCACTTGAGCCCAGGAAGCAGAGGTTTCAGTGAGCCAACATTGCAGCACTGCACTCCAGCCTAGGCAATAGAATGAGACTCTGTCTCAAAAAAAATAAATAAAACCACAACCCAAAAAAGCAAGTAGCTTCTTTCAGCTATGAGAATACAACTGGAAATCCTTTTTTGGAGAAGATAAGAAATTAGTATGATGTCTTTCCTCAGTTGCATTATTACACAAACAGGTACCAAAGTTACATGAGTTGTTCTCGTCATTTAGAATCACCTAGGATGGAACCAAGTAGAACCCAGGCCTTCTAATATCTTGACCAATGCTTGGCCTTTGCCCTGCTTTTATGTTCACTGAGCCCCTCGGTAGTTTTTTTTAAAAGCAATATTGCTCTTTCTATGTAAGCCCTCTTTCTTAAATGTTTAATGTTTCTTGTCTTGTTTCAGACCCATTTACCCAATATTAAAGTCCACGCCTACTTCGCACCTGTCACTCCACCCCCATCAGTAGGGGGCAGCAGACAGCGCTTCTGCAGATGCTGCATCATCCTATGACAAAGGAGGTGGTCAACTTTGGTGAACTGAGTATTTAATGACACTTCTAGAGCTACGGTGGAGTTTCTCCAGTGGAAGCGACCCCAGTGTTCTGGGCAAGGGTTACAAAGTGAGGGAGGGCAGTGTCCAGATCCCCAGAGCCACACATACATACACGTACACACACTCACCCCTATCCACTCTAGCTCTGTGACCATGGGACTGAAGTTTGTGATGGCTTTATCAAGTAGATTGGTAAAACTTAACCATTCCTGTTGAGGTGCCCAGAAGAAAATCATAGGCCAAGATAGAGGGAGGGGCATTCCAGCAAACCCAGTGTTACTGCTACTGTGGTTTTTAAATTTTTGTCTAGGGGTTTCTTTGGGGATTTTGGAACATCTGCGTCTGCATTTGCAGTCCTGCAGGGTCAAGAAAAGCATGGAAAGACAGTATATGATGTACCCAGGGACCAGAAAGAAAATTTATTTGCATCTTAGAAATGGTAGACATTCATTGTGACTACAGAGCTTCTGTGCTTCCTTGTTTCCATGCCAACATGCTGAGCATGCTCACAAAGAAGGCTCGTCCATTCCTCCTGTGTTTTAGTATTTGGCCCAGAGGTTTCCTAAATGGTTGCATTGAAATCACTGTGGTCCAAATGTAATTCTTACACACTCAAATTATCACTGTCTGTAGCACACTTGTGCACGTGTCTTCCGTTCTCTGTTGCTCCCTCCCGTACTCTTGCTCAGTCTGTCACCTGTTCAGTCTGCTTACTCACTCAATTGTTACTCTTTTGCTGTTGTCGTGTTTACAATTTGCATTTTGAATGATTAGTTGGGATTACCAAACATTTTTTAAACAGATATCAATAAATATTTTTTTAATTCTAAATTTTACCATTAGGGGACCCTGCCTGAATCTTTGCCAATCTGGAAGGAAACTATCACAAAAGCAAGAAAAGTTATGAGAAGAAATTGACTATTTTGATGAAAACGGATGCTGCTTTTTGGTTTCTATTATATCTTCTGATATATGATAATTTGCATGATATGCCCAATATTCCACCCTACACATTTTTCCTTCTGTCAGACTCCACCTTAATAAGGAAAGAGAGAGATGTATTATTAGGAAAGAGTGGAATGATAAATCACAAAACCAAGCCTGAAAGTCCCCACCACCGAAGTTCAGACATTAATGATTTGTTACTAGATATTTACTGAATTCTAGGAGTGATAACTGGCATCTCTGACCTGTGTCTGTGAGGCTGTTTTGTTTTAGCAGGAATGCTACCAGAGGAGCTGTGTATTCTAGCCAGTCTGTTTCTTTTTTCCCCATTTCAGCCTTTCAGGGATACAAGAATGGCACTGTAACAGCTGGTCAGCTGTATGTCAGTGTTAATGGATTCATATGTTGGCACCCCAAAGGGCCAGAACCTTCCCAGAACCTGTCAGTCATCTCTCTTTTCTGCTCCAGTCTTTTTTTGAGACGAGGTCTCTCTGTTGCCCAGACTGGAGTGCAGTGGCTTGATCTTGGCTCACCGCAACCTCCACCTCCCAGGCTCAAGTGATTCTCCTGCCTCAGCCTCCCAAGTAGCTGGGATTAGAGGCACGCAGCACTATTACCCAGCTAATTTTTGTATTTTTAGTAGAGATGAGGTTTCACCATTTTGGCCAGGCTGGTCTTGAACTCCTGACCTCAAATGATCCACTTGCCTCGGCCTTCCAAAGTGCTGGCATTATAGGCGTGAGCCACAGCACCTGGCCCTGCTCCAGACTTCTGAATGAAGTATGAATGTAGCCAGGTGAACCACTGAGGCAGCTGAAAGACAACATTGAGAGGAAGTAGGGGGTTTAGTGTCTCTGCTCGGCCTGGGCACTAGAACTAAGGGAGGAATTTAATGTCTAGGACTTACAGTCGAAGAAGAAGTAACCTCTCTCCCCCAAAAAAATCAGAGGATGAAGGAAGTAAAATGAAGTTTTTAAAGCATAAGAAGTAAATTTCTAAACCGCAAGGTCAGAAACCTGAGTGTGATTTTTAATAGGGTGATTTTGGCAGGGGAGTCTTTTAAGACATTAATGTGCAGTCCATCATAATCTCAGATAATCTTCTATGTGATCCAGACTATTAAAAGGCTTATTTTATTTATTTATTTATTTTTATTTTTATTTTTTTAGAGATAGGCTCTTGCTACCTTGCCCAACCTGAAGTCAAACTCCTGGGCTCAAGCCTTCCTCCCACCTCAGCCTCCCAAGTAGCTGGGACTACAGGTGTGTGCTATTGTACCCAGCTTAAGAGGCTTGTTTTAATGCTGCAGTTGCTGATTCTACCAGCATACATAAGAATAAAGTCTGATTTATTTCTCCATTGATTTAGAAGGCAATCGGATGAAAAGGTCTTAGAAGTCTATACTACGCACCAGTATTTAGCATATTAAATTTATTTTAAATCCTGTTTCATTGTGCCCCTTTAAAAGTGCAAATTACTTGTTTTATTCATTCCTCTCTCCCCATAATCTCTTTCAGATTACCTTATAAGGAATATAACATGAAACTCAGTTTCCTGGCTGTCCCCCTCCACACATACAAACACATATGTGCATGCACACACACTTCCAGATGTGGTTGATAATATTCAGATCCCCAGGTTATTCATTCAAACAAAACTAAAGGAGAAAACTATTTAGGGGCCATCGCTTTAAAGTTTAAGGTGTTTTGTTGTTGTTTTTTTGGTGCCTGTACAAATTGACCAAAAAACCCAGATTGATTAGTGAATATGGATTTGAATTGCCTACATTGAGGCTATTAAGGTACTTCTTTACTTAAAAATAAGTTTAAAAGACCCTATTCATCAGGTCATGAAGATCTTGGAAATGGTGTTTCTCTACTCAAAGGGTATACCCACAGGCAGGTCCATGGGGACTTCCCCTGGTGATCCCTGCTATTAAGGCAAATTCCAGCCTGTCTGGGCCAAGGATAGTCAAGAGAGAACGAAGACTCAGGGGTGTGCGCACTGGCTTGTATTTTGTCAGGCAGAAGTCTTACTCCTTTCTCAAGAAAACTTCAGGCTCATCAAGCTTGGAAGGAAATACATTTTTTATGCTGATTTGCAGCCTGTGCCAGCTGATGGATATGCTAGGACTTTGAGAATACAGAGCATGGTAAGTTTTGGTCAGGTGGAAAGGAGCCTGACATCTGAACATAATGCTTCCTCTCTCAACATCTGGGATACTTGTGAAAATTAAGTAAGGATTAATGTAGGAAAAATTCTCTACAGAAAAAGCTAATTGGTCTGTTTGTCTAACTTCATAGCCCCTCCAAAACATGCCTTTTATAATGGAAAAAACAGTGAACAGAGAGAAGAGATTTGGGGGTAAGTTAGAAGGTACCCTCAAAGCTGCTGCCCTAAACCTACAGGTGGGCAAGGAGGAATTACGGTAGTGTCTCTGGAGAAAGTTCTTGAACATACAGATCATCTCGTTTCTAAGCAGTTTTCCCCTATTTCATCCCTTACATTTTCCAGCATCATTTGCTACATAAGTGTCTTCATTCTCCATCAGCTCCATTGAGCTGACTCCAGCTTATTTTTGCACTGATTTCCAACATTTCCTTCCCACACCCATCCTTTCCCTCTACTTAAAGCCTCCATCTCACCCTCAGTAATGCTGCTGATGTACTCTCAGATGTCTCCAATCTAGCTTCCTCTTTGAATTCCTTTCCTACTCCAGGTGCTGTCATGGGCAGCCTTAAGTTCAATACCTGTCAGGTGGCTCAGGCCATTTTTCATTAGGTGGTCTTTGTTGTTTGCATACTGAATTTGAATTGAGTTGAAAAGCAAACTGTTGGATATGACATTTTACAGGGAAACCTGGTAAATTTATGATGCTTTATTTTGGGCTTTCCAGACTATTTGAGTTATTCGGTATAGCCATAATGCTTCAGTAGGCACAGTCTTTTATTTCATGTAATTGCCTTGTAAAATACATTGTTATGGCTGGGTGTGGTAGCTCACGCCTGTATCCCAGCACTTTGGGAGGCTGAGGCAGGTGGATCACAAGATCAGGAGTTTGAGACCATCCTGGCCAAGATGGTGAAACCCCTGTCTCTACTAAAAATACAAAAATTAGCCAGGTGTGGTGGTAGGCACCTATAATCCCAGCTACTCGGGAGGCTGAGGTAGGAGAATCACCTGAACCCGGGAGGCGGAGGTTGCAGTGAGCCAAGATCGTGCCACTGTACTCCAGCCTGGGCAACAGAGCGAGACTCCATCTCAAAAAAAAAAAAAAAAAAAAAAAAGCGTTTTTACTAGTTTGATAGCTCACTAATGCCAAGGGGGACTAAACAAAATATATGATGAAACTTGTCTTGGTTTGAAGTTGTTAGAAAATGTGGGAGTGAGGCTGGGCGCCGTGGCTCATGCCTGTCATCCCAGCACTTTGGGAGGCCGAGGCTGGTGGATCACAAGGTCGGGAGTTCAAGACTAGTCTGACCAATACGGTGAAACTGTCTCTACTAAAAATACAAAAATTAGCCAGGTGTGGTGGCGCACACCCAGCTACTCAGGAGGTTTAAGGCAGGAGAATCTCTTGAACCCATGAGGTCAAGGTTGCAGTGAGCCGAGATCGCACCACTGCACTTCAATCTGGGCGATAGAGCAAGACTCCATCTCAAAAAAAAAAAAAAAAAAAAAGTGCAAGTGTGTGACTGGAAAGAAGACAGTAAGCGTCCTTCCTGCCTGTGTAGTCAGCATGTCCTTAATTGATCATGTTATTGGGAGAAGAGCACTCATGGGCCATTGGCCCTTTTATGTTTATTGTGCTGAAAGTCAGACTGTTCATGCCAGTTGCTACCAGTGAGAGGGGGTTTAAAGGAAATTGCTCTGTTCTGCCTTTTTCCTCCTTATGTATATGATTTAAGGGTAGGCCTTTATCCTGGTTGTTTCCCCAGCTGACAGAATCTCTCAGTCGTATGTTTGAGCTCTAAAACATTTTACAAAAAGATTGCCTATCTGCCTACCAATTCTAGGATCTTTAGTCACCTCAAACCCAGGCACTGTGAATTAGCCAAGTCCTGTTTGAGAAGAAATGTAGGATGTTTGGTTGGCGTTCTTGAGACAGAATCTCTCTCCCCATTAATGATATTAGACCAAAGAATTCTAAAGCAGTAGAAGGATGGGGGGAAAATGGAGTCCCAGGTTTTCCTTGCCTTTATTTCTATCATAATTTTTTTTTTTTTGAGATGGAGTCTTGCTGTCACCCAGGCTAGAGTGCAATGGCATAAACTTGGCTCACTGCAACCTCGGCCTTCTGGGTTCAAGTGATTCTTCTGCTTCAGCCTCCCAAGAAACTGAGATCACAGGTGCCCACCACCAGCCCAGCTAATTTTTGTATTTTTAGGAGAGGCAGGGTTTTGCCATGTTGGCCAGGCTGGTCTCGAACTTGCGACTTCAAGTGTTCCACTTCCCTCAGCCTCCCAAATTGCTGGGATTACAGGCGTGAGCCACCATGGCTGGCCAATTTCTATCATAAATTTTAAATGTAAGATTGGAAGATGCAGAGAGCTGTATAAAACCATGTCAGTAGGGTATTATTAATCCAGGTAGTTTAGGAATAAAATTGGGCTGTATCTGTCAGGTGCAGTGGCTCACGCCTGTAATCCTAGCACTTTGGGAGGCCAAGGCAGGCAGATCATGAGATCAGGAGATTGAGACCACCCTGGCTAACATGGTGAAATCCCATCTCTACTAAAAATACAAAAAATGCCGAGTGTGGTGGCATGTGCCTGTAGTCCCAGCTACTCGGTAGGCTGAGGCAGGAGAATCACTTGAACCTGGGAGGTGGAGGTTGCAGTGAGCTGAGATTGAGCCACTGCACTCCAGCCTGGGCCAGAGAGCTAGACTC